GTGGAATTAGAGATCCAACCCTGCAGTGCTTTGGTGGGCAATTGGAACTAGCACCTGGCACCCCAGTGCACCCAAAAAGCCAAAGGACGTGTCAGGTTTCTAACGAGGCAGAGGCTGGGCTTTATTTCCCTGTGTATTTGAGGAATGTGACCCTGAATACATCCCTGAGATGTTTCTTTCCTTGACAGGATATGCACCGGCAACCCTGTGAGCGTMGGTGAGTTAATGAACCCCCTTTAATTTCCTCACAAGCCCTTTTAAGCTCTTTTCAAGCCGGGTTTTGGCCGCTCTGGGCGTGACCGAGCGTGTTTTCCTCCCGCAGCCGTGGTCAGCGGCGGGGGCACGGTCGGGGAGTGCCGGTCCCTGTCTGGAAAATGCAGYGTCAAAACCGGAGCGGCCGGCGCGGGGCTGGGCATGGTCTCATCCTTCGGCAACGCCGGATTCAGCACCCGCAGCGTGGATTGCGTGCCCAAAGTCGGGGCAGGGTTCGGAGCCAGGAGCGTGGTCAGCTCCCTGGGCAGGGAAGTGCTGACCGGGGTGGACGGGGTCCAGTGCGCCCCCGCCATGGGTAACCTGGGCAATTTGGGCAATTTGGGCAATTTGGGCAAYCTGGGCAACCTGGGCAACGTGGTGTGCGCGGGGGTGGAGCAGTGCGGCGCCGGGCCGGTGCTCATCCCCGGGGCGCCGGGGGTGTGCGGGAACAGGTTCAACACAGCCGTGCGTGTGGTCAGGACGAGCCGGTAAAAGACCCCCGCGCGGCGGATTTTATAAAAAATCATCATTTCTGCAATAAAAACAGTATTCCCCCCTCCCTCCGACAGCCACAGGGATCACACAACCATGCGCTAGGASATCGCTCTGCCTAAGCCCTTTGTTTGACAAAACCCGCACTCTGTCTCATGTCTTTCTTGGGGGAGATCCCCCCCTGCCCCCCTCAGCCGGGTGAGATTTTCATTTCAGAGACCGTTCCTGCCTCCACACATCATCTTGGCTTTTCAATTGCCCTTCCCTGCCTGACCCCTTTCCAGCAGAGGCTTTCTTTGCCTAATGCAGCTATTGCAAAMGGATGAAAAATTTGGTCATCCCAAACTTCAGAGAGAGAAGCCACAATTTAATTGTACGAGACAAAGCTGCAGCTGTAATTTAACTACTTTAATGACAGCAGAACATTCAATTTTTCCTGTTTACGACAGGGTTGGGAATGCTTATGCAAATTGGTCCAGGTTGCTACACCAGGTTTGGTAGAGCAGATTTTAATTACGCCCAGACGAGCACCTTATGTTTCTGTAGTTAAATGCATGTGTTGTTTTTCCTGTGTGTAATAGACGGAGTTAAAGCTTTTAATGTGTAAGTGAACAGAGTTATTACCCTTCGCTTACTCCAGACTTTCAGCAGTACCTTCAATAAACTCCATGCATAATTCATGCTGTGCTGCCTGGGCTTTATTTCCMTCCCTGATATTGCAATTCATAGAAATTTCCTCAAACCTGACTCTCCAAATGGGTGGAGTTGGGAGCTTTCAGAAGTTTTTGTCTGCTCTCCTTTCTGAAGCACCTTTGCATACCTTTATTCCATCCGATGATTAGTGTGGCCACAAGGAAGTCTGGAAAGGAGGCTCTTTAACCTGATCTGAGGGATTTGCAGGTTTTTTGGGACCTCTCACTGTGTCTGGGAAATCTGGAGACTGAATAAAAAGGCAGCCAGGCCCTTGTTTAATGAAATCAGTGAGAACCAGCTCACAGGAAAATAATCCCACAGCCCACCCRTGGAACACTCTCATGAGAGTGGGTTGATTTTAGAAGGAAGTAAAAGGGGAAGTTAACTTCCCTCTTAACTAACAGCTAGAAGTTGACTAAAAGCTCCCCAAAGTGCAGCTAAAGGGGCTCCTTCCTCAGCCCCCATCTTCCTCAGAATTTGTGATCTCACACAAAGAGCAGGGGCTGGAGATGTGGCTGGACGTGCCCCTCCATCACCTCTTCCAGRGAGGGGAAATCCCTCTCCCACAATTTTAGGAAATTGGGATTTATGAGCAATCACATCGCCCTCTCCCTTTCCTCTATGAGGGTCAGGGAATCATGGAATATCCTGGGTGGGAAGTGACCCACAAGGACCGTGGAATCCAAGTGCTGGTCCTGTACAGGATACCCCAAAAATCCTGCTCGATGCTTGAGCATTGTCCCACCCAAAAATCCCACCCGATGCTTGAGCATTGTCCCAATGCTCCCTGAGTTCTGCAGGGTCCCCAATTTCCCAGGACAGTGACCCACTGGGGGTCTGAATAATGTGTCTGGGAGGGTTTTGCCGTGGTGACAACCCAACACAGGCGTTGGCACCACTGGAATCGCGGGAATCCAACGGGCCCTGCAGATTCTCCGTCCCCACAGCTCCCCTGGGCACAACCAGCACCCCCTGACCCAGCTCTGCTCTGCACCACCCATGCAGAAWGAAATCCCTGTGTCCTCACCAGCCTGGAGCAGCCCAGGGCGTGGGCACCTTCATCTGCCCACAAAAGGCTCACCACGAACCAGGGGCTGTAATTCATTCCCCCACGTCCCACTCTGCTTCCGACACTGCCCTGCTGACTCACGGCTGCTTTCCCTTGGCCTCTCCAGGGCTGGAGGATGAGCTCAGCCCCCATCATGGTCTGTCCTTGTTAGTGGGGTGGGATGAACCCACCACGGGATGAGCTCCAGCCTCTGCCGCTCTCCCAGTGTGGGGCATTCCATCTCCTCTTGTGGTTTATTGGATGTGATCAACATCCAAAAAAAAGTGACCACACCACCAATTATATTTTAATAAACAGCACAGTAGATGGGGGGTGGTGAAAGCCAAGTGGGTCATCCCTCGGTGAGAAAGCAAAGCTCACCCCCCTTAAGATGTTTGTGGAAATGTTGTCTTCACCTTTTCTGCTCCGTGAGCACGATTCRGGCTCCATCTCATTTCTATGTAAATACCAAGCAGAAACACCCAAACAAGAAGCTTCCACTGCCCCAACAGCTCATGATTTATGTTGATCATCTCCCTGCAAAGCAATACTTGCACACCAAACACCAGCCAGCTCCCCGGGGGACAAAAGCAGCCTGGCAGCTCTTGCATTTCTGGGAGAAAACCTTTAATCATCCCTGTCCTCAACCCCCAGCTATTGCAAAACCCGTGTTTGCTGCTGCCTGCTTGAAGATGTTCACGTAGATCAGGGTATTTTGGACACAAAAAAGCCAGGAATGTAGGTTTGGGGTAGATAAATGTCAAATCTTGCACAGTGTCACTCTGGACAGACCCTTTTGTAAATTGATAGAGTTGAAAATCGGGAATTCATGGAATGGTTGGGTTAGAAGGGATCTTAAAACCCATCTTGTTCCACTCATTGCCATTGACAAGGACATCTTCCACTGTCCCAGGGTGCTCCAAGTCCCATCCAGCCTGGCCTGAGACACTTCCAGGAATCCAGGGGCAGCCACAACTTCTCTGGGAAGCACATCCCAGGGCCTCCCCACCCACACAGGGAGGAATTTCTTTCCTCCATATATTTCACTTCCATTTTCCTGCTTTCAGCTCGAACCCAGAGCCTGGCAGAGTTGATCCAAACAGATCAATGAAAATTCCACATCAGCCTCTGGGTTTGGAGCCCCAACCCTCGGCTCCTCCACACCACAAACCACCCCAGGAAGGAAAGGCAGCGTTTTTGGGGCAGCCTTTGCATCGCTCACATACCCCGTGGACAACAAGCCGAGGGGAGAAGAGTGTGGGAGCCTAAAGTGACAATTCCTTCTTTCTTGTTGGCAGCCCCACCTTTAATCCCATTACATTCATTCAGCTCTAACATCTGATCCGAACCCGTTCTTCAGCTTCAGGACAAGCTGCCTTTACTGGGGTCAAAGAACCATGAAGACAAAATCTCATTTTCCCATCGCACCCTGGCTTTGAATTTTATGCAAATCATCAATGGGTGCTCATGAATTTCAAGTGACATTCCAGATTCAGACGCACATTTTCCAGAAAGAAGCAAGCCGACCTGCACTAACTGTGAATAATTTCTCACTGCAAAGGGAAATTCTCTTTCAGTGCCCCAACTCTCCCATTTGAGCCKGCACGGCAGCATTTCTGCAAGGATMATCAGATATTTGGCCTTCTGTATTCAGCAGCACCTGTTTAATTGTTCTTCCAAWGATGCCAGTGGGATTTTAGCTCCTCCTTAATGGTTTTGTAGCACTGGGGCACAGGGATGTGTTTTGAAGGGCAAGTAGAGTCCTGTCCTGTAAATATATTTAAGCTCCAGCTGTGCAGAGCTCAGGCAAAGCCACCAGGGCAGCCCCATGCTGAAAACCAGCTGAGCTCTGACATGAGAGGGATAAAATGCTCTCAACACTGCAGTTCCAYCAAGTCTGAAATGCCCAAAAATATCACCACACCCTGTTGAACTTGGTCTTTTTTTTTCCCCAAAGACTCCAGGAAGTAAAATTAGGAGAATTTGTGGGAGTATTTTTCATGCTGGTTAAATCTGCTTTTGGCAGCATTTTGGATGGTTCAAAGATCTTTAAAAGAAATCAGAACTGGGGAGAGCAAGAAACTCAGGACTGACTACATCCTAAAGCAGACAGACGACATCGTTCCACAGAGCTGGGCAGAGTTTTTCAGAGAATCTGCCTCTTTTTTTAAAAATAGTTTTTAGGTCAAGATGAAAATTCATCAATCACATCATCAGGGATCTGAAGAAATCCCAATGCAGCCTCTGAGTGGGATGGATATGCCCTCTGGAAAGGCAAATATCCAGAGGAGAAGCCTAGAAAACCTGCCATAGGCTAAATAATAAACATAAATGGGCAAAATTTGAGGTGCTATTTAAATTGGGAAAGGGGAAAGAGGAAAACTTGATCAGGACCTCTTTGAGCAAATCATCCCCAAGAGATGGTCCCTGCCCAGGAGTGGGAACAGCAGACGGGATAAATCAGAGCCCCAAAAGGGATGTCAGGTTTCATGAACATCAAGCTGCCTTATGCCTTCAGGTGAAGAAACCCCATGAAATATTTTTGTTCAGATTTAACCATTTTGTTCTCACTGTCTTTYACTCGAGTTAGTCCAGAGGACTCTCCACTGATCTCTGTGTTAATCTGCTGCATCTTTTAAATAGAATCAGGGGCTCCAATATGTTATTTCCAGTTTCATAACATTTTGAATTTATTTTCTTTCACTTCACAGCGAGGGAATTATAGAATCATGTAATCCCAGAATGGTTTGGGTTGGAAGGAATCTCAATGACCGTTTCATTCCACCCTACCATGGGCAGGGACACCTTGTACTAAGCCAGGTTGCTCCAATCCCAGTCCAGTCTGGGCTTGGACGCTTCCAGGGATAGAGAAAATAATACAGAATAAAATAAAATAAAATAAAATAAAATAAAATAAAATAAAATAAAATAAAATAAAATAAAATATAAAAAATAAAATAAAATAAAATAAATAAAATCCATCTCTGCAAGGATACAGAAGCTTTGCATCAGGCTGAGGTGTCCCTGCCAGAAATCTGGGCGTTAGATAACCCTTCCAGCTGAGCGGCCCCAGCCCCAGGAGGTGTGTTTGGGTGCRATCAGGGTTTAACGAGCCTCAGGGAGACAGCTGCCTCCTGGCACGTCAAAACCATGAAGGCACCAAATTGATCACTGGACTTCCATGCAACCAAGCCCAGATCCCCGGGGGATAAAAGGGGCACCCGCATTCCCTTCCCTCAGAGAGCTGCTGAGTCTCTCTGGCTGCGCAGGGCCCTTCTCTGGTGCCGTGATGAACCGGGCGCTCAGCATGAGGACAGGGGGTGGAGGCCGATCCTACAGCGCTGCCTCGGCCATAATTCCGAGTGGCAACAGGGCTGGCTTTAGCTCTGTGTCCGTGGCGCGAGCGGGAGGAGGCGGAGGTGGCTTTGGGAGGCTCATTGGAGGAGGTGGCGGCGGCGGTGCTGGTGTTGGTGGAGGTTTTGGCAGCAGGAGCCTCTACAACCTTGGTGGGAGCAAGAGGATTTCCATCGGGGTTGGAAGCAGCTACCGAGCGGCGTTTGGGAGCGGAGGTGCTGGTGGCTCCGGCCTGGGAGGTGGTGGAGGAGGCGGATTTGGTGGTGGTGGAGCTGGTGGTGGCCTCGGGCTGGGGCTCGGTGGTGGAGGAGGTGGGTTTGGTGGTGGCGGAGCTGGTGGTGGCCTTGGGTTGGGGCTCGGTGGTGGCGGTGGCGGATTTGGCTTTGGTGGAAGTCCTGCTGGGCTTGGCTTTGGTGGTGGGCATGGAGGTGGTGGAGGGCTTGGCTTTGGTGGGATGGGYGGGCTGGGAGGATTCCCCGCAGGGCTGGGCGGTGGCAGGAGTCCAGCGGGGTTTCCTGGTGGCCCTTCTGGAGTGGGCACAATCCARGAAGTGACCGTCAACCAGAGTCTGCTGGCCCCGCTGAACCTGGAGATAGATCCRAACATCCAGCAGGTGCGGAAGGATGAGAAGGAGCAGATCAAGACCCTCAACAACAAATTTGCTTCCTTCATTGACAAGGTGAGACTTCGTCAGGGGCTGTGGATCTGTGGAAGAGGGGAATGAGGGTCTTGCAGGTACAAAAATACAACTTCAGGGAGCTCCAGTCCTTCACCCATTTCCTCCCTGCAGTTAACTCCCTCATACAATAATATCCTTCTAAACAGTTACGGGGCAGAAAACAAGGAACTAGCAATAATGGGATTATATCCAGGTTTTGTGCCTGAGAAATAACACAGATTAATTGAAATTAAGTCAATTTTGGGTCCAGCTCTAGTGGCTCAACCCAACTCTCTCTCCGGGCAAGCACAGCAGATGTGTTGGTCCTTGTTTATTACCTGCAAGATAAAACCTTTTTTATATTGACTCAATTGACTCAACCACTCAGGTCCTTCCTTGGCTTTTAACTGGATATGTTGTATGTGTGAGCAAAAGGAAAGGCAGTTAAGTCTCCTAACATTAGTACTCTAATGAAGGAAGATAAATATCTTGCAAAGAAAGAAACCCCAGAGGGTGTGAAAGAAGTCTGTTGAAGAAAGAGCTCAACCTGAGTTTTCTTACCATTGCTTGTTGTCTTCCTAAATTAAATGGGGAACCATCCACTGAGGGTTGATTTGCTCACCTACACCTTGGGCTAACACAGCCCTGGATAATCCAGAGGATATTCCCAGTTTGGAAACTCTTAGGACAGGAATCCCTTGGCTGCTGCTGTGCATCACTCCCAGTTACTGAATATTGGCTCACAGCTGTCCTCTGCCTAAGCCCTTCTGCTTCCCATTGCTCAGGTTCGCTTCTTGGAGCAGCAGAACAARGTGCTGGAGACCAAATGGACCCTCCTGCAGGAGCAGGGCCAAAAAAACAACTCCAGCAAGAGCAACCTGGACCCGCTGTTCGAGGCCTACATCAACAACCTGCGGCGGCAGCTGGCCAACCTGCTCAACGAGCGCGGACGCATGGACGGCGAGCTCAAGAACATGCAGGACCTGGTGGAGGACTTCAAGAACAAGTGAGGGTGAAATGGGGTTTGTGGATGGTTCAGCTGAACACTGAGCAGGAGCAGTTTTCACCCAGAGGGTGCTGGAAACTGCCCAGGCTCCCCAGGGAATGGCCACAGTACCAGGGCTACCAGAGCTCCAGGGGCGTTTGGACAATTGTGGGATTGCTGGGGTGTCAGTGCAGGGACACGAGTTGGAATCAATAATCCTGATGGGTCTGTTCCAACCCAGCTGAATCTGTGRTTATATAATTCCAGAATTATGTAGAATTCCAGAACATATATAATGTAGAATTATATATAACATGGAATTATATATAACATAGAATTAATATAGAATTATATAATATAGAATTATATGAAATACAGAATCAATACATATAAAATATATTATATATAATTAAATATATAAATTATTATACATAATTATTATATATAATTAGTTATACAAATTTATATAAACAATTATTAGATAAGTATGTAATATAAAAATATATCAAATATATAATGTAATATGGAATATAGTATATTACATACAAATACAAATATTAAAAGTTATGTATTATATAGAATACATTACAGAATATGTTATATAGAATATGATATATTCCATAATAGACTATATAAAATATCATAGAATATATAGTATAGTATATATATATCACATATATATAATATATATAAAAGAATATACTATAGAATATAATATAAGAATATATAAAATATAGAATAATATATATAATATAGAATAATCTATAATCATATAGAATTCCAGAACAATATATAATTATAGAATTTTGGGATTCTGTTATTCTGTAATTCTGTGATTCTATGATTCTATAATTCTGTAATTCTATAATTCTGTGATTCTTGATACTTTAGTTCTATAATTCTATGATTCATCTCAAACATTTCWGTTTCTGAAAGTCAAACATCCAGCCTGAAGTACTAATGGAAATTTCTCCAGGAAAGGGGAAAATGTGTCTCCAGTTTGTGCTCCAACCCATAACAGAAAAGATCATTAATTGCCCTGTTCAGAGCTATCCCTCCCTGCAGGACCCATTTCCCTCAACAGCACCAAAAAGGGTCCATCGACATTTTTCCCATCAAAAAATGGAGACTCAGCCAGGACACAGCACCTTGTGATGGCTTTTGCACAGGAAAATCCTCTAAACCAGCTTTACCCTCCTTGTTCTGTCTGCATTAAGACAAAATTGTCCTTTCAGCCCTTGGAGAAATGGGAGTCTTACACATTCGAGCTGGACAATTCCCAGGAGGCCGATTTGGAGATGCCACCTGCAGTCCATATCACCCTGCAGTCCTACCTGGACACCTGTTCTGCTTCCCGAGGTCTGATCCAGCACTTCTTTCCCTTTATCCCTGCAGGTATGAAGAGGAAATCAACCGGCGCACAGCAGCAGAGAACGAATTCGTGGTGCTCAAGAAGGTGGGTGAGACAGGAGATGCTGAGAAAAYATTGCCCAGACTGGGAATGTCCTGAGGCATGGGAGATCTTGTGGAGCTGCATCCTCATCCTTTAAAGGGCTTAAATCACCATTTGATGGTGGTATTGGGGGAAAGGAATGGAAGGGCTTGGAGGAGGGAAGCAAAGTCTCCTCCCACTCGTGTTCCACAACCCCCAGAKCTGCAAAACACATCAGGTGGAGACAAAGGGGATCAGTCATGCTGGGAATCAATCCTGGGTACCAAAGAGCCAGAACCTCCCTCTTTATTCACTCCCAAATGTCTCACAGCACTTTTCTAGGGCTAAAAATGCCCCCTTGGTGCTCTTCCAGTGGGATGTGCCACACACAGCTTCTCCACCAGGTGACAGAGAAAGGGGCAGCCTCATCTCCAGGCTTGGCCGGTTCTTGGCTGTGCCAAGAAACTTCTTCCTGGTGGAGAAGAGGATCCAGGTGCCACAGGTGTCCTCATGGCTGCTCTTTTCCAGGATGTGGATGCTGCTTACATGAACAAGGTGGAGCTGGAGGCCAAGGTGGACGCCCTGAGTGATGAACTCAACTTCCTTCGGGCCCTCTATGAAGCGGTACAGATAAACCCCCGATTCCTGTCCCACTGTCATCCTTGACTGGGCACTGCCACCACTCTGAGAGCTGGGACAGGTAAGTGCAGCTCCCGTGTGCTTCCTTCCAACAGGAGCTGGCCCAGCTCAGTGCCCAAGTGTCCGACACCGCCGTCATCCTGTCCATGGACAACAACCGGGACCTGGACCTGAGCAGCATCATCGCTGAGGTCAAAGCTCAGTACGAGGACATCGCCAACCGGAGCCGYGCCGAGGCCGAGGCGTGGTACCAAACCAAGGTGAGCTGACCCATCAGTGCCACAGGAAAACCCTACTGTCCCTAAGAGGGCTGCTCAAGCCACGCTTTGTCCGGCTGGACACCTCAGATAGTTCTGGATCCATCTTCCTTCTCACCATCAGTTCGAGGAGCTGCAGGCCACGGCTGGGAAACAYGGTGACGACCTGCGCAACACCAAGGGCGAAATCTCAGAGCTCAACCGGCTCATCCAGAGGATCCGCTCCGAGATCGAGAACACGAGGAACCAGGTAGCAAAGGCAAAAAGAGCTGCAGAGCCCAGTTCTGCTGTCCTTCAAMACTGCAGCTCAGCTTTGCAGATCAGGGACTTTGGAAGGTGTTGAATTCCCTCCTGGAAAGGGCTAAACACTGTAAAATTTCACTTTTAAGTCATTCTTGCCAACCTGGCATTTCAACTCCAGCCGTGTTAGCTCAACTGGAACATTTTCCATGAATGTCCCGGTCAGAATGGGTTTCTTCTTTGGGTGACTCTCACTCAGAGGGAAAAGCAGCCTTCCAATCCYCCCTCCCTTGCAGTGTGCCACCCTACAGACGGCCATCGGAGACTCTGAGGAGCGTGGGGAGCTGGCCCTCAAGGACGCCAAGGCAAAGATGATTGATCTGGAGGACGCCCTGCAGAAAGCCAAGGCYGACATGGCCCGGCAGCTCCGCGAGTACCAGGAGCTCATGAACGTCAAGCTGGCCCTGGACATCGARATYGCGACCTACARGAAGCTGCTGGAGGGCGAGGAGAGCAGGTGGGARCAAGATCCTTGTGGGAATAATAGTGACTATCACTTTTCCCATCCGAGGTTGGTTCCTTTGTCTGTCTCTGTAATTTTGCCCTAATCTCCTCTAATTCCCCAACAGGCTCAGCGGGGAGGGACTGAACCCCATCAGCTACTGTAAGTATCACAGTTCTCGATCCCAAAGTCTGGCTTGGGGAACAGGGCCAGGGAGCAACCTTGGGAAAAGGGAATTTCCCCAAATAAGACATTTGAAGCTGTCTACTGCCATTAGGGGCTGGTGCAGGGGATGGAAGTTGGGTTSAAGCCCTGTGAATCKARGTCCTCACGAAGTCCTGATTCAAGRTCCCCAKTTTCATGGCACTGGGTGACTCCAGAGAAGCTGTGGCTGCCCCATGCCTGGAACTGTTCAAGGCCAGGTTGGATGGGGCTTGGAGCACCCTGGGATAGTGAAAAGTGTCCCTGCCCATGGCAGGAGGTGGGATGGGATGACATTTATGACCCCTTCCAGCCCAKCCCATCCCATCCCATGATTCCATAACTGCCAAAAAGAACATGTCCAACCCTCTTGTTGCTTTTCCTTGCAGCGGTCATCAGCTCCAGCTCTGGCATGGCTGGTGGACCTGGCTTAGGAGGAGGATTTGGTGGACTGAGCCTGAGTGGAGGAGGCGGCGGAGGCGGTTTTGGCCTTGGAGGAGGAGGTGGAAGCGGTTTTGGCCTTGGAGGAGGTGGTGGAAGCGGTTTTGGCCTTGGAGGAGGCGTTGGAAGTGGTTTTGGCCTTGGAGGAGGCGGCGGGAGCGGTTTCGGTCTCGGAGCTGGCAGTGGAGGAGGAGGAGGAGGAGGCTACAGCTTTGGAAGTGGAGGAGGACTTGGACTCGGGGCTGGAGGTGGTCTTGGAGGCGGATTTGGAGGAGGGAGTGGTCTGRGCACCGCCGGTGGCTACGGCCACGCTGGAGGCGGCAGCAGCGCCCTGAGCACCAGCGGAGGGAATTTCAGCTCTGGAAGTGCRAAAGGCACCAACCCGGGTGTGAAAATCGTCTCCAAAACCTCCTCCAGCAAAAAGAGCATCAAGAGCCAAAGCCTGAAGAAYGCCACAGAGCCTGAGTAAAGCCAAGCCCAGACCCTCCCGGGGTTCCTGCGTTTCTCCTGCCCCATTTTCACCCACCTGCTCCTCTCCAGCTGCCTCTGCCCTGCTCCTGCTCTGTAGTTCTCATGCATTTGGATCTCAAGTCAAGAAAAGCAGCAGAACACACAAAAAACTGGAGCTCTCCAAGTCCCTGAAATGGGAGTAAAAGGAAAACACTGGCCGGAGTGATTGTTCTGGATGGAGAATTGGTTTTGTTTTCCATTTGTTTGTTTCTAATAAGGCCGAGCAGTTAGTTTGGGATCAAGGCCACCCACAGCCATCAGCCAAAAGAGAGCAAACAGCAGGGAAGGTTTTAGCTCAGCTCTGGCCCCAGAAGCCCAGAAATGGGGTGAGAATGAGTGTTTATCTCACCCTGCCTTGCCTTCACTGCTGGGATGAGCCCAACTCGCTCCTCCACAGGAGCAGCTCATCTTTATTGGAGACCTGGGTCATTTTTCTGCTGTGTAGAAATACCCCTGGAGGCTGCTCAGAGATCCCAGGCAGTGGCTTGTAAGGCCCCCCTTAAAATATCCTTCATTCTGAGTCACTCTGGTGAGATGGAAAATCCCTCTTTTCTCCATTCACAGCCAAGTTTTGAAAGATACGATTCTTCAGATATTGCCAAGTTTGGAATAATATGATTCTTCCAGGTATCGCCAAGTTTGGAATAATATGATTCCTCCAGATTTTGCCAAGTTTGGAATAATATGATTCCTCCAGATTTTGCCAAGTTTTGCCGCTGAGTCAGCTCCAGGCACTTGAGCCTGGCCAGGGGTTCAGAGTGTTAATGTTCGAGCTGCAACCTGAGATCCTTCCACCCACGCATGAGAACTCAATGTGCCACGAGCTTATCAAAAAGCTTTTCCCAAATCACTCTCCTGCTCCTGTCCTTTCTCTTCTTAAATGAGTTTGCCCACAGTGGCACCTTACACATAACCCTGGCGGTTGTTTTTGTCAGAGGATTCACCAGTAATTGATCCAACACCATGGAAAAGGGCTTGTTTTCTAAATGATAGGATTTTAAAATTCTAAATAATGTCTGAGTCCTTCAAAAGCAAGACCAATGTTTGCAGTTAAATGGGGTTTCTGTCCTGTACCACGCAAGGTTTTTCTGGAATGTCTTCAAAAATTCCCAAATCCTCTTTCCCGGTGGCCTTGTCACGGCAGGTGGGGAAAGTCWGAGACTGTGAAAATCACACTGGAAAAGCTGCCTGAAAAGCTGTGTCCACTGCTTCTGGGGGAATTCCAGCATCTCCACTCTGTGTGGGCTCCTCTGCCAAACGAAAAACCTTTGGGAAACAGGAGAGCACAGCTGGTTCCAGCCCAGCGTGTGGGAAGCGAGGCAGTCGAGACCAGGATCCCAAAGGAACTCCAGCGTCCCAAATCTATTTTCCCCTTTTCTAGTGGAATTCACCCCTCTAGCCTTCCACTGTGTCTTTTTTATTTTTGGAAAGCACCATTAAAAAAGAAAATTGCAGCTTTTTATACTTCCATAATAGTGATGCGACTCCATGTTTTCCTGCCTCTCTCTTTTTGGAACATGCCCAATAAAACCAGATTGTAATTTATTTGTTCTTTTTATTTCTGTTTTTGTTCTAAACCAGAACCAGCAATGCAAAATATTCCCAGCCTTCATCAGAATGAGCTGGAGGCACATTTGCTTTACTTCCAGGAAAAAGCTTTGAAATTCTGGTTAAATTATAATGAAAATCTTGAAATCGTTTGTCCCAAAATAAATTGAAGAATTGGAGAAAACTGGAAGAGGAAAAGGAGGAAGAACAGGATGGAGGTTTATCCATAAGTGACAAGATAATTAATCACCATTCATTTCTTAACTTACTGGGGTTAATCCAAAAGCTTTTCTTCTGTGGAAGGGAGGGTTTGGYGCAGCCAGGCAAAACCTCAGGATTTAATTTTCACTTTCTTAAAAAGGCAGAGCAAACCCAAGTGTCTGCAGGGCTCTGGGGGAGGCTTTATCTGGCAGATCTGGGTTGGGGATGGTTTCGGTGCTGGAGCACAACAACAGCACTGATGCAGATACTTCAGTCAGACATTGCAGAAGGAGAATAAAAACAAGAAAAAGTGGAGAAAAACGCCTCAACCAAATGTAATTGCAACGCCCTTACTGAATAAATTTCAAAGGCTTCACTCTGCCCTGACCTCGCAACATCCTGGCCCTGCCTAACTCCAGGCAGAGCTTGGGAAGGAGAGGGAACAGGGGAGGGAGTGGGAATATGGGAAGGAGCAGGAATGTGGGAAAGAGTGGGAACAGGGGAAGGAGTGGGGATATGAGGAGCAGGAACAGGGGAAGGAGCAGGAACAGGGGAAGGAGCAGACAGGGGAAGGAGCAGGAATATGGGAAAGAGTGGGAACAGGGGAAGGAGCAGAACAGGGGAAGGAGCAGGAAAAGGGGAAGGAGTGGGAACAGGGGAAAAAGCAGGAACGGGAAGGAATGGGAACAGGGGAAGGAATGGGAATAGGGAAAGGAGCAGGAACAGGGGAAGGAGTGGGAACAGAGGAAGGAGTGGGAACAGGGGAAGGAGCAGGAATATGGGAAAGAGTGGGAACAGGGGAAGGAGCAGAACAGGGGAAGGAGCAGGAAAAGGGGAAGGAGTGGGAACAGGGGAAAAAGCAGGAACGGGAAGGAATGGGAACAGGGGAAGGAATGGGAATAGGGAAAGGAGCAGGAACAGGGAAAGGAGCGGGAACACGGGAAGGAGCAGAACACGGGAAGGAGCGAGAACATGGGAGAGAATGGGAACACGGGAAAAAGCAGGAACAGGGGAAGGAATGGGAACAGGGGAAGGAGCAGGAACACGGGAAGGAGCAGGAACATGGGAAGGAGCAGGATCGCACATGCCGGCATGCCCCGGCGAGTTCAGCAAAACCTCGCTCAAAGCCAGGTGCACCAAAACACGGGAACATCTCATCCCCTTTGCCCAGGAAATCAAAGGAGCCGCAGTGAAAGATGAAATCCTGGGGCAAAACCCAACCCAGAATCCCAGAATCCCAGAATAGCTGGGTTTGGAAGGGCCCTCTGCAGCTCTTACAGTCCAACCTCCACACATGGAGCAGGTGAAACTGGACCACATCCAGATGGGCTTGGAATGTCTCCAGAGAGGGACAACCCATGCATTCCCTGGGCTCTGCCTGCTCCATGAAAGTAAGTTTTGAGGTAGAATTTCTTGTGTTCCAGTTTATGGCCATGACTTCTCTCTGCCCAGGGAGCTTTGGAGTCACTAGACGTGTCCAGGGAATGAGTGGATGTGGCTCTCAGTGCTCTGGGCTGGTGACAAGGGGGGATTGGGCACAGATTGGACTCGATGATCCTGGAGGGCTTTTCCCACCCCAGGAATTCTGGGATCCTCGTCCTGTTGTTGGGCACCACTGCAGTGAGCCTGGCACCATCTCTTGCCACCCCTTGGAGATGTTCATATGGGCTGATGAGACTCCATCTCAAATGAGAGTTTTGTGTGGATATTTGGATATTCCTGTGATTGTCGGGATCCCCTCTCAGCCCCCTCTTCTCCAGACTGACCGGGCCCAGCTCCTACCATTTCTCCTCATCAAAGAGATGTTCCAGACTTCTCATCACCTTTTTGGCTTCCACTGGACCCTCTCAAGGAGCTCCTTGTCRTTCTGGAGCTGTGGAGACCAGAGTAGAACACAACCCTCCAGACCTGGCTCCACCAAGGGCCCCACCTCCCTGACCTGCTGGCCATGTCCTTCCCGAGGCATCCTCGGATTCCATCGCCCTCCTGGCCACAGGGACACACTGCTGGCTCGTGGYCAACCCTTTCCACCAAGGCTCCTCAGTCCCTGCAGTCCAGAGGATGTTGCAGACAGGTCAAAAATACAGTGAAAGTTAAAAATAAACTCTGAGTCACCTCCATTTCTGACCTCGCCAAATTGCACAGGTCAGGTGCGAGGATTTAACGCAGCTCATGACAACCCAACCTTAASCAACCTGGAGAGTTTTTAACATCATTATTCCATCCCCTGCTGGAAAAAAAAGAGCAAATTGGAGCCCCGAAGTGGAGCTYAGAGGAAGATGAGCTCCTGCAAACWGAAGYCCTGTTCTTCCTCCCCTTCCTCTGCAGTGCCCTCACCCCTCTTGTGACCTCCTTGACAGGGAACTGTCCCACCTGAGGGGCCAGCAGAGCCCTCCTCAATCCTGAGTACCCTCACAGGGACACTGCATGTGAGCGACACAAACCAAGAAACGAAAGTGTAATGGGACCGAGACATTCCGCAAGAATTTTCTTTGTTTTGKTGCCTAAACCATCATTTGCCTTTCTCTTCCAAATCCTTTGTAATATTCCACTTAATTACCGTTGTCTGCAGCAACAGGCTTTCCTAGAGGAGCTGGGGAGGTAATGACTCCCTTCCACACGAATCCTTTCCCTCTGCTTTAATTAAAACCTGTGCTCCTGTTCCCAGGTGTGACTTTGCATAAGCRATTTGGGAGTCAAAGGCATGTTCCTTGCCTGGCCCCCGTCCACCAGCTCCTGGCACAGCGGTGCCAGTTCACATGGGCAGGTGTAGGGAAGCAAATCTCCATGGATCTGCCATGCTTGGGACAGAGCTTATTTATTTTCAGCACCACTGTGTTTATTTTCAGCGCCCAGAGGTCTCCTGGCTGAGGGTCCCGCTGCTGTGAAATCGGAGGTCATTGGGTTTGGATGGTGGGGTGAAGTTTTCCCAGCTAAACTCCGCATTTCCAGCACGCGGAATATTCCCACATCTCCACTCTCGGGGTGAGAGCACCCCCTTGCTACRGCCCAGCCGCCACCCCGTCAGCAGGAGGGCTCTCAAATCAGCCCATCCCGGGATCGGTCGGATCGCGCCGCAGGGGCCGGTGACTCACGGCTGGAAACGGGAGCGCTCCGAGGGGATGGGAGCTGGGAGCGCTGCTGTTTTCTGATTGCGAGGAGACAAAACCCAACCAAACCAAACCAAACCCAACCAAACCCCTCCTGCTCAGGTTCTTTCAAGTTCCCAGACAGAAAAAAAGGCAGCGGTTGGAAACACATCAACACAAACAAGCTCTGAGATGTAGCTGATCCCCTTAAACTCCTCCTTTTGGATTGAGCTCCTGCACTTTTTACTCACGTAGATGAATTTGGGAATTTTTTTGGTTTAACTCCTCAGGGTCTCATCTCTCAGTCTTTTGCGATTATTTCATCTGGCCAAGGTGGGCAACCCTGGCTGATGGGCAGAATCCAGTTCACAGAAGTTTTTTGGGTCGGAATGAGGGGATTTCTCCTGCATCCCATGTCCAGCTCTTCATGGACACAAGAAGAGGAACCCCAGATCTGAATCCTYTACACAGCCCAGACTCTTTGTGGGGGTTGAAACTCTCCCACAAGGGTTCACCCAGGAGCAACATCAAGAGGCAAAAGCTATTTTAGAAAGCTTTTCCAACTGAGTGATCTCAGTGGAGTGAASGAGGGGGTGGGAGGGAAAGTGGGTGAATTCCCCTCCACAGAACATCTTGGAGAGCCAGCAATGACGTGGAAGCTGTTGGATAAATACAAGGGGGGGTGGAAAAAGTGATAAAAATACCACTTCACAGGGAGCTTTTGAACCCTGAGTCTGACAAGGAGGTCCTACAGAACCACAATCATTTCAAGCAGCTTTTTAATAGCTGTTTTATAAATCTCTATTAAGGAAAGTACTATTGCGTCTATTTTGATGCGAATTTTGGAAAAGGCATTTCCTCGCTGTCTTTCAAAGTCATGTTAATTCCTCAGTTTTCCCTGGAATGGGGGGAGATGATTTTTGGCAAGATATCAGAAAATACTGCCATTACACAACTTCCACTCAGCTCATCTCTTCAAGCCTATGATCCTTTACATCCAGAAAAAAAAATTGAATRTTAAAAATAAATCAAAACATCAGCTCTGATCATTAAAATCACCTTCAGACCCAACTTTCCCAAGCCAACAACAAGAAGACATGCAGGGCCAGTCACAAAGCTGGAAACCTTGAAAAAGTCCCTAATTTTTCTTGCTGTGCAACATGTTAAACCTTAAAATCCAACTTGCAAAACCTTCGCTTTGCTCAAGCGAGCGAGTCCTTGTCTCGCCTGAGGGAAAGCGGCTCCCAGGGTCCCGGGAATCATGTTTCATCCTGCCCCTGAGTGCAGACCTGGTCCCATTCAATTTTAATTCCATGACTCAGAGCGGTGGCTTTGGTGGAGGGGGGAGCTCCCTCTCGCCGCTACTTTCCTGCCTGCAAACAATGCATTTTTCAGCGCCTCGCCGTAGCCGAGGTGTGTTTGACAAGGCAAGTTGCTGCAAGGCACGTCAAGTTCTGAGCTCCCGTGCCAAGTTTTCCAAGCAGATAAAAGAGGAGGCTCCCAAGCTCTCCCATCACAGGGGTTTCTGTCTCCRTTGCCCTCTGCTCTCCTCTTGCTGCGCAGCCTTTTTTTGTTTTCCTCTCTCCTGCTCTTTGCCTTCCCAACTGAACCAGCCATGAGCCGGATCTCTTTCAGATCATCTACTGGAGGGGGCATGAGGGGTTTTAGCTCGGGCTCTGCCATTGTAGGAGGTAGCGGTGGTGGGACCAGGAGCAGTTTTAGCTCCGTCTCTGTCTCCAGAGTTGGAGGAGGCAGAGCTGGAGGTGGAGGAGGCTTTGGAGCCGGCGGTGGCTTYGGCAGCAGAAGTCTCTATAACATGGGTGGAAGCAGAAGAATTGCCTACAGCACGATCGGTCCAGGTYTACGGAGCGGAGCCGGGGGTGGATACGGTTTTGGTGTTGGCTATGGTGSTGGAGCAGGCGCCGGCTTTGGCTTAGGAGGTGCTGGTGGCGGTGGTGGCTATGGGCTGGGAAGTGGATTTGGGCTGGGAGGGCCTGGATTTGGTGGCCGAGGTGGCCCYGGGTTCCCTGTTTGCCCACCTGGTGGCATCCAAGAAGTGACAATCAACCAGAGCCTCCTGGCACCCCTCAAGCTGGATATCGATCCGGAAATCCAGAAAGTGCGAACGCAGGAGAGGGAGCAGATCAAGACCCTCAACAACAAATTTGCCTCATTCATCGACAAGGTGAGAGTTTGGTSTGAACCATCAAGCCAGGCATCTTATCAGTTGCCTTGGGGAAAAACTTCAGGAAGAAACTTCCTTTGGATTTAGAGACTTGCCTGAACTGATCTCAGCTGACAAACAAAGTGGGCTTGGCTGAAAACTAAGAACTGTTTTATGTTTTCCTCTTAGCAAGGATGAGTTTTTCAGCACCTTTATTTTATTGACAGTTATTCTCTCTTGCCTGTAAAAACCATCCCAGGGGTGGATGGATCTTCTCCTCTGCAATGGGATGGCACCATTTTAAATGAGCAAGGTGGGCTGAGCATCTACTGGGGGGAGAAGCATTAAAGTTGCAAGTACAGGTGCCTGACCTGATTAAAACTCCTGAAAAAATCTTGCTAAACATCTCCAGAAGCTTTTAATACCTTTGAGAATCCAACRTCCTAAACTGGGACGCTCCTAATAATTCCCCTCTGCTTGCCCCAATATCTCATGACTTTTTCTGGTGGTGATCGCACCTTTTCCTGGAAGTTGTGGGGGTTTTTGAGTGTCGTTCACACACATCCCTGGTTTCGTTCCTCCCCAGGTGCGCTTTTTGGAGCAGCAGAACAAGGTGCTGGAGACCAAATGGAGCCTCCTCCAAGAGCAGGGTCACACTGTCACCAGGAAGTCCCTGGAACCCATTTTCGAAGCCTACATCAACAACCTCCGGCGGCAGCTGGACAACCTGATGGGAGAGAGGGGCCGGCTGGACTCGGAGCTCCGGAACATGCAGGACATGGTGGAAGACTTCAAGAACAAGTAAGGAATCGTGTTCTGCAGCATAAATCATTCCAGCCAGGAAAATCTGGCCAGGTTTCTCTTCTTGGCATAAAACTTCTTCTCAGAATCACCCCTTGTTATTTCATATTGATCATGAACAGGGTCAGCGTTTAGCACAGAATTCCTGGGAAACTGCTCCAGCATGACAGAGGTCATGGTCTGGAGTGTCCTGMAGTAATATACCTGGAGACAGAAAAATTAGTAAATCGTGAGGATAAAAGGAAATGGTGATGGTGGTGGTGGCTAAAGGACTGGGAAGTGGATTTGGGCTGGAAAAAAAAATGGAATGATACATAGCCATAAACTTCCAGCTCMAAAATCCCCCGTTTCTCACTTTGTGAAGGCAATTCCAGCCTTTCCAGAGGGCCCAGGTGATCTGGGAGTGCTCGGCCTCACTCAGCTGCCATCACCTGGAAGATAATCAGCCCTTCATCAAAAATTTCCCTGGGGAGGGATTTAATTCCCTGTTGAGACAGGGGGTCTGGTGGATGGGGGATGGATCCTTCTCAGGACACGCCAGTTGGCACCTACTGCCTGGAGGGGATTTTTTTGGGMTTTTTGGGTGTGGCTGTTSATTTTTATTTGTCTGAGAACAATCTCGCCCTTCTTCAACCAGCTCTGGATGAGTGCAAATTTGAGAATCACCCTGCAGGGCTGGAATATGTTAATATTAGGGARTTAAGCATGGGAAGAGACAGATTTTTGGGAGAGCAGCTGGGAAGACAACACTCAGATACAACAGGAGGGACTGGAAGAGCTTCTGGTGTGGTTTTGGGTGCATTTGAGGTCTTGAAATGTGTTCTAGGCTCTTAGAAACACTGACCTGGCCCCAAATGATCAATCCCACAGTCTGGATTTYAGAGCTACCTGCTGGGAAAGAGAACACATTTCATTTCAAGTCTAGAGTTGGCTCCCAGTCCTCTGGCTAATTCCCACCTCTTCCCTTGTCCATTGGACATCTGGCTGGAGAGAAATCTCTGCCAATATTGGTGAGAGGACTGGCACGAACCTGCCTTTGAAAGCCAGGTCTTTGCCTCAAGAGCCTGCATGTTTTGTCTACTTTCCAGCTAAGCCCTGCCCTGATTATCTGATGAGATGATGTTGCTTAGAGCCATAAAAAAGTTCCACAGAAACGCTGTCAGAGCTGTAATGATCCTCTCTTGCACAACCATGGAATTTTTTTTTTTGTTTTAATTAAATGTTGCAGCGGGTTCTTCAGAGCCATTAGCATTATTATAATATCAAATATCAAATGATTGCTTTATTATACATTTGTAGGCATTGCAGTGCAGCTTTGTTGAAAGCCTTTTGCATAACTTTGCTTGGAGCAAAGGTCACCRGGACCGGCTGCTCCTGCTTCCTGCCAAAACGGGCTCTGAATCTTCACATTTATGTGTGAGCTTGACTTTATGGGCAGTGATTAAAATATATTAATTTAACTGAGACTACTCACGCCACAGAGTCCCACAGTTCAAAGACGGTAATATTTGCTCTGYGTCTGCTCTGGATAAACATGTGGGAGTAGGGAATAGATCCATGAGCCACAACTGATGATTTGGGAACGGGGTGCTCCCACCTCTGCATTCCATCCAAACCTTCTCACTCTTTYATCCTGGCAGATATGAAGATGAGATCAACAGGCGCACGGGTGCCGAGAACGAGTTTGTGGTCCTCAAGAAGGTGAGTGGGTTGGGAATGATGGTCCARGAAATGGAATTAACTCACCCTGCAGAGTTCAGGTGAAGCTGGTGGGAGTCGGGGTCCTGCACCCTCGTGGGTGGGTCAAGCCGTGAGATTGGCACATCCTGAGGCCAGGAATGGGCACGACCTTCTCTGTGCTGATAGAGCTGCCCTGTGTTCTGGGCTCTTGTGGCTCAGCTCAGCTCAGTCTCTGGTCACGTCCTGGTGAGTCAGAGCTTTGCCTTCTGCCCAAGAACCTAGTTCAATGTCTAACATTGCGTTAAAAAAAAATGCCTTGATCGCAGCGACATAAAAATAAGCCTGACGAGCTGCTGGCACTGGCACAGTTACCYGGGGAAGCTGTGKCTGCCCATCCTTGGAAGTGTCCAAGGCCAAGTTGGATGGGGTTGAGGCAGCCTGGTCTGTGGAAGATGTCTCTGCCCATGGCMRGGGTGGGAATGGGATGAGCTTTCAGGTCCCTTCCAACCCAAATCTTTCCATCACTCCACGATTCCATGAATAATAGACCTGGAAGCAGACATAGTCCCACTGGTGTCCTGAAGCCCCTTTGGGTTCTGGTTTCACCAGAAACCTTTGGTTTCTTCTCTTTAGGATGTGGATGGTGCTTACATGAACAAGGTTGAGCTGCAGGGCAAGGCCGATGCGCTGGCGGAGGAAATCAATTTCCTGAGAGCTCTGTACGATGCGGTGAGTGATTCCTGGAGAGCATCCCTCAGCTCCTGCCCCACAGATCCCACACCCCAGGGCTCTGYGGGAGCAGAGGGGAAGGTGGTGGTCCCAGCCTTTTGGAAATGATAATGCAGAAATAAGTTRGAAAAGGGAAAATGGAGACAGAGCRGKGGAAATGGAAGAAAACAGCTGGGCAGGGAGCACTCCCAAACCACCTCGTCTCTGTGGTTCTCACCATGGACACCAGACCGTTTACTCAATTGTTTTCATCTTCTGCAGGAGCTGTCCCAGATGCAGCAACAAGTGTCTGACACCTCAGTGGTGCTGTCCATGGACAACAATCGGAACCTGGACCTCAACAGCATCATCGCCGAGGTGAAGGCGCAGTACGAGGACATCGCCAACCGCAGCCGCGCCGAGGCCGAGGCGTGGTACCAGAACAAGGTGGGTAACCTGGGTGGCAGACTGATCTCTGTGGTCAGAAATGATCAGAAATGATCAGAAGTCATTTCCTATCAGCTGAGGGAGGCAGGGATGAGATGTTTGAAAGTCTTGACCTTGGGGGGGGCTCGCAGAGTCACTGGTCGAACTGGCCTTTAACACTTCCCCTTGCAGGTTCCTGTAGGTGACAACCCCCAGGTTCCTGTAGGTGACAACCCCCAGGTGCCCATCAGGCACTGCATTCTTGGAGAGTTAAGGGCAAGGCCAGTGTTCCATGGGCACATTTCAGAGGAACCTTGTCCCCCACCCCTCAACCCACATCCAGACCTGCACTTTATTCCCTGAAATCCCCTCACCCTTCCCCGAGCTCCCAGTGCTAACCAGTGCCCTCCTTTTCTCCCTGTACCAGTACGAGGAGCTCCAGGTCTCCGCTGGGAGACACGGGGATGACCTGAGGAACACCAAGATTGAGATCTCAGAGATCAACCGCATGGTGCAGAGGCTGCGGAATGAGATCGACAGCGTGAAGAAACAGGTAGGAGGGGATGGGAGGAGGTGGGTGCAGGAGACCATGGTGGTCAGGCACAGCAGGAAGAACCAGATGCCACCAGGACACCTTGGTGCCATCCTGGGACCCACCAGCTAGTGTCCACAACCCCCAGCAACACTCAAGAGAGTGGTTTGGGGTGCCCAAATGAAACAACCACT